TAACTAGGCTTTATAAAGATTTAAGTTTATAATTAAAAATAACACTTACTTTAACTATAAAGTTATTATTAATATTATATAAATTAATAATAAGGATGTTCTACATGTTATTAATGTAAACATATTATTTTAGGCTGCTACATTCCTAAAATCTATGTCTACATAAGATACCTAGAATGCACTGTGTAAATGCTAGATTAACACCTATTAAGAACCCCTAAACTATATTGTGTATAACCCTAGTACAAACTTTGCTTTAGAGGATTTTTAAGCTTATGTAAAGATTATAAGAGCTACATATAGGCAGATGCCTATAGAAGCACATTAGGTAGTTAGAAAGGTTAAGCGTGTGCACACACCTCTTTAATAAGTGTTTAACATCCTAAAGACTAAGCTAGGTGACTGTACAGATAATAAGGCTATCCTGCAGATAGCAGTTAAGGCTCTAAACAACACAGCTAGCCTACATAGTCTAGTACCCACGCTGCTAGTTTTTAAAGTATACCTAAGAATTAACCTAGACTTTTTACTATTACTAGACATTATTACACAAGTAAGCGCTGTATAAAAGGTAATAAAAATACTTTAAAAAGACTATATAAAAGTAAACATTAATTATGTAATTAACACTTATAATAGCCCTATAACACATAAAGTTCTTAACCTCCTCCTTAGCTTAAAGATTATAGTATAAAGGGAGAAGAAAGGCTAGACTAGCCTATATAAGATTAAAAGCATTAAAAGAAAAGACATTATTATTAAAAAAAAAATAGCCTACTAAAGCTTTAATATACACAGGTTAAACTATACTATAAAGAAAAAAAGAAAGATAACTTACCTATAATAGATAACCTAGATAAACTAATCTCTATATAAAAAGATTTTCTAAAAAAGAAAAAAAAAAACAGCCTTATAAAAATGTTATAAAGGCAGAACTAAAGCCTACTACAGACTAAGCCCCTTAGAATAGTAATGCTGCACTAGTGCAAAGGGAAGATATAGATACTAGAAGAAGTAAAAGGTAAAAGAAACTTGCATAAAGTCTAAACTAGGTATTCCTAACCTAGAAAAAGAAGAATAATTAAGCCTTATTTATTAAGCTTTATATAGATAGTGTAATTACTATACTTAAAAAACTATTTAAGAAATTAGACTACATAAAGATAAACACTTTAATTACTAATAGCACTTTTAAAGTTATAGTGTATAACTTAATAAGGCATAAAAGTTAGATTTTTAACCTCTGCTTTATATAAAAAGTAAAAGGTAAAATAACTTAACTATATAAAAAATTCTGCCTAGTGTTTGCTAGCTACTTAGATAAAAAGAAGAGAGAAATCCTTACCTAGTTACTAACTATTTAGAGAATAAGCTAAAGACTACTTCTAGCTATAAAAGCAAGCTTAAGAGCTATATATAGAATATATTTTAAACTATGTAATATTACATAAGTATACATCTAATTAATAGATAAGCTTATGCGCACACTGTACACAAAGCTACTAAAGAAGATGCGCTAGAGCTTTCTACTAAATACAATACTCTAGGTTGTACAACTCTTGTATAGAGCTGCTAAATTAGGACTATATTAGTTTAAAACATATTATAACTACTATAAAAAAAAGCTATGTATGCACATCTTTTTATACAACCCCTACCTTTTAATTACTAATAAAAGAGAGCACACTTTTAGTATTACTAGCCTATAAACAGATAACACTTTAAGCATTATAACAAAAGATTTTATATAAAAAAAAAAAAAAAACTATAAAAAGTAAAGTTTTATATAAAGGGTAAAACTATTTTAGTAAAAAAGCAGCCTATTAAGTTTAACAGTAGAAGAATTAAACTTATATATAACATAGTAGCTTTTACTTAAAAGAAATAAGTAAGCTACTTTTATATAATTAACCTAAAAAATAAAGATGCTGCATAATAATATGTTAAGCAACATGTAAAAAAGGTATACATTATATTTATGTGTTAACTAGAGGCAGCATTTAACCTGTCTATTACTATATAAACTATAGACCCTTTATATAATAATATTAACATACTTAACACATAAATCTAATAGTAGATAGATAATAGTAAGCGCAGTTTTACCTTCTTACTATTATAGCTTAATTATGCAAAGCTGTTTATCTTTATAGATAAATTATTTACTAATAATAAGAACTTTAGCTTACAGCTAAAATTCTTAATTATATTAAGTAATAAAAACTATATAAAGCAAAGTAACTACTTTAAAATACTAGGTAATATTATACACTAGAATTCTACTAAGTGTAAAAGAGTAACTAGAAGTGTTCTTACTAGTAAACTATATAGAATAGTTAGAAAGTTTAATAATGTAATTACTTTTAGTATAACTTTATAGTAAATTATATAAACACTTAAACTACTACTAATCTTAATAGTAATTTATATAGATTTAAGGTTTTTATATAATTACTTTATTAAGCTAGGCACTACTAGTAAAAAGTAACTTATAATTAATATTATGTTACTCTATAAATTATATAAAAAAAGGGAAATTACTAAAATAAAGTAAATTAATAGTAAAGATAACCTAGTAGATGTATGTATAAAGAAAACACTAAACTAGGCTTTTTAATTATTAGTCCTAACTAACTGCCTCTCTGTCTAGATAGAAGCATCTGTAGACTAGCTAAATCTTGTGCGCAAGGATGCTTTAGACTAACTAGACTAATAATGCCTTTATATAAAGCCTATTTCTCTTTATTTTTTTTTTTTTTATATTATACGCACTTATCTTTTTTATTATAAGGATCTGTTACTGTTAGCACTATACAAAAAAAGAAAAGAGCTAAGGAATTATATAGTAGGGCTTAGAAAGTAAAGAATATAAAAAAAAAAAGCTATTTATATAGCATAACTAGCCTATTCTAACACACAGCATTACTAAGGCAAGTCCTAATAAATAGGGTAAAGTAAAGGCAGAACATAATTAAATAGACCTATATAAATAAAAGGGAGGTAACGCGTACAGAAGGCAACTCTTTAGATAAAAAGAAAAGTTGCTAGTGTCTGTACATAGCAGCAGCGTCGCAGCCTAGATATAAGCGATCACGCACAAGCAGGATCACGTATCTATGTTACATAATGCTTGTGCGCGAACCTCTGTGCGCAAACATCTAGATATCCCCCTTTTCCTCTGTACAAAGGAAAAATAAGAAGTAATTAACACTAGTTACCTAACACCCCTATGCAATGTTTACACTGTGCAAACCTCTCCGTCTTGTACGCGTTTGCTAACACCAAGTGCTAGCTAGCAGAGAGTCTATTCAACAAATATAGTTTTTTATTATAAATATATAAAAATATTAACTTAGTACTTTTAGTTATTAGTAGAAGACTTAGCCTATAAGTTAGTAAAAATTTAGTGTTAAATTAGTCCTAGAGAGTAACTTAGCTCTAAAACAAGCCTTTTTATAAGCTTCTACTACTATAGCTGCAGCTATGTTAAAAGTAGCAAAAAGAATTAAAGCTTAAATATAAGTTAAAGCCCTTATAAAAATAAAAATAAAATAGTAAAAATCTTTAATAAGTGCTAGCAGCACTACTTATATAGACTTAAAAAAAAGAAATAAAGTAGTTTTAAAAAATATAACTATGCTTACTACACTTAAAGCATTAACTTTTTTTTTTATAATTTTTACACTTTTTAAAACTAACTAAAGCATAATTTAAATTAATTTTTATTACATTAAAGTTTTTATTTATAACTGCGCTAGTTTAGAGGTGTATTAGAGCTTATATAAAAAGGAACCTTATATTATTATTATAAGTAGTAATTAAGTTTACATACATATTAAGGTTGTTTAGAAGGGGTTTTTCTACTATAGCGCGTTACAGTTTAGTTAAGAGGAAGTTATATAGGGCTATAATTAGACTTATCTTATTTAGGCCTATATTAAATGTAAGTTAGTAGAACTTAGTAAAGTGTAAAGTAAAGCTTTTTTTTTTATTATAAAGTATTTAAGTAACTTAAGGCTATTAACTTTTTATTTAAGTTTTTATAAGTTACTTATAAAAATGCTATAAATTAATTTAAGTTAATAATATTCTTATCTATTAGTAAGTTAATTAAGGCTATTATATTATAGTTAAGTTAAAAGTAAGTGTATAGTAACTAGAAGTGTTTAAAGAGAAATTAGTCTATATTTCCTTTAAGTTTATATTAAAGCTTATATAAAAAAAAAGGTAAGTCTTTTTATTTTCTATTAAATAGTAGGGGATTAGAGAGTTAGTTAGATTTTATTACTAAGTTAAAAAAGTTATAAGTTATAGGCAGTGTTAAGCAGAAAAAAGTTAAGCTATCTTTAGACTTTTAAGTAAGCTTTAAAGCTAGTAAGTTCTTAGTTCCTACTACTATAACAAAAGTTAAGGTAAAAATAAACTACTTAATAATATAAAGCTATTTTTTAAAGTTCTTTTAAAAAGCTTTAAAGCTTATAACATAGTAGCTTTTTTATAAAGTAAGTGCTTTTTAAAAAGCTTTTTAGCTTACTTTAATAGCTTAAAGTTATATAAGTACTAAGCTTATTAGATTAAATTTAAAGGCTATTCTTAGCTAAAGTTTTAACATAATATAATGTTATAATTATGCATAAGTAAGGTTATAGAGCTTTACAGAGGTCTAGTTTAATTACTATATAAGGTATTATAGTAAGTATAAGACATTATGTAAGAAATAAGAAAGTTTAAAAAAAATTAGTAATTAAATACTTAGCTTAAAAGTCTAAGCGCTTTAGGTATAAATTAAGCCTGTTTTAGGTTTAGTTAGTGTTAAGGCAGTTTATGCTTAAGTTTATGTCTGTGTTGTGTTGTGTTTATGTTAGACGTGCACTAATAATACTCTAGTACGCGTCTAATACAGTTATGTCTGGGATCTAGGGAGGATACCGTGACACACCTTTCCTCTTAGCTAGCTTAGTAGTTTTCTAATATCCTTTGTACAAGGCCTATAGGTGTTAATGGAAATTCCTAGGTTCTGAGTCCCCACGCACTCCCATATGCCTCTGAGTGGATTTCCACCGCATTCAGACCTATTGTCTTGCCTGTGCCGTTACAATAGTGATAGAGTATCTAGTGCATTTAAGTGCAATAACTATAAAGAGATAATCTAGGTAGAAGATCTATAGTCCTTAGATATCCCTCTGTGTCTTAGTCTGGCTGCTGCTAAGCTGTGCGGCCGCAACGCTAAGCTTGCATCTACTCTTTCAGCTGCATCCGTTTTCCCGTCACGTGACTGTGACATAAGCTGCCCCGCGCATCGTCCTGTTCCCATCATGCCAGCCCTTCAAGCCTTTGCATCCTTCCAGCGACATCTTCTTGGTTTGCCGCAGCTATTGCTATTGATTCGTAACACAAGACACATAGAGGAGTGGGACTTACTGCTAGTGTGTAAGGCCGGATGTCCCAGAACGGGCCAGTATGGCCTCACCTGACCTGTGCTTCGTATATAAGCATGAATGCTGACAAGCGAGGCTTGGCAGCGATTCGTCTCTCTTACAATCAAATAATACACTATCTCTACCGCCAAGCCCTCTCTCCTATTGGTCTGGATATAAGCCGGTTATTAATCTGATTGGTAGAAAATCAAATAACTAAAAAGCTTTGTTGTTCTACGTTTTTAAGCTTTAAGTAATTATTCTGCTCTGCTACATGCTTAATCTAGCCTTCTTTTTTCCTTATTATAATTAAAGATAATGTGGTTAGGGGTGTTAAAATCACTTCTGCTGCGTGGTTTTTCCCTCTAAATATAATTGGCACTGCCAAGACCTTCTAAGCAAAGCCCGTTATCCTTCCTAATCGGGACTAGCCACTTTCTTCCTGGAAAGGAAGGATAATCTGCTCGTACACTCCTATCTTTCTCCAAAAGCTTGCTCTCAGTGCTATCCGTGCTACCTACCATCCCATCTTTACATAGCGGACGTGGGAGGACCGACATTAAAGAGGGTCTATGTTGGGAGATTTAAGGACTGAGGACTTTCCACATATAAGGTCTTGCGATTGAATGCAGAAGCTCTAAGGCTAAAAGAGACTGGCGTATATAGCTCTCGACAGAATGAAAGACGCCGGAAGATAACGCAGAACATGTTTAGAATGTTTGTGAAACATATTTCTAGGCTCTCAAATAGCTGCACCAGCTCAAGTATCGATCTTCAACATTGAAATTGCAATGAGTTTGGAGACTAGATAGAGACTTACAGAATAAACCCCATGGAAGGTCATTGGGAATCGCTATGGTACCTTTCATCTAAGGGTAGTGGATAGAAAACAAATAGAGTAAAGGGGTAAATAGCGAGACCTATCTTGATCCAAGGTTCCTTGATCCAAGCTTAAGTTAGCCTCGAAATCACCATTCACAGGCGAATCTAACCCAGTCAAACTGTTCATTCCACCCCACCCCATCCACGCTCCGATGCAATCCCAGCACAAAAACGAGGGTATGAGTATCTGGTATCAAGCAAGTCGATTTCTTCTCCATTTCTACTACCCTCCTCCATCCTCCCACCTACGCAACATCATACCCGGCAATCTCTAAACTAACCTCAGTCCCCCAAAGCCTCCGAAACCTAGTCCTGGCATCCCCATTCCGATCCACACTCAACTCCTGTGGATATCTTGCCACCATGCGCCCAACCTCTGGTCTAGGACATCGCATAATACACACAATCTTGACATCCGCATCGGCAGGCCGCGTTTCTTGGAGAGACAGACACAGGGATTCGAGGCCGAGTTCACGCTCCCAGCGTAGAAAGTGCGCGTAGAAGGCTGTCGGATGCTGGGGGATTTGCGGCAGGGCGGGAGAGTGTTGAAGTGGGTTGTTTTGGGTTTGGGTTTGAGCTTGGTTTGCGAGGTGGGGTTGAGGTTGCGGGATTTGGGGGTTGACATGGATGTGACCCATAGGCGGAGGTGGATGAGGGTGGTGGTGTGCGACGTTGTGGAGTGCCTGTAGTCCTTGTTGGGCAGCATGTTGTTGCTGGAGGTTCGCTGCGAAGGCTTGGAAGGGGATTGCTGGCGGTGGGGGAGGAGGGGGTGGGATATTGTTATTTCCATTTCCAATTCCATTGACATTCACACCAGAGGGCAAGTGAACCTGCACAGGAGCCTGCACGACACCCACTCCGAGCTGCTGAACAGGCCACTGCTGTTGTGGGATTAAATTGCCTTGCTGTTGCTGCAACAAGTTAAGTTGTTGCTGCAATGCATTCTGTACCGCCTGGACCTGTGCCTGGACCGCAGGCGGGAAATTTGCGAGACCTGGCTGTCCCGCTCCCAACTGTGTAATCAAGCCCGGCGGGCCAATATTCCCACATCGCAGGAAGATCCACAGGCTCTTGAGTTTGGGCAAGTCGGCCTTGAGGGAACGGTCCTGCGTCTTCGATCCTAGATATGAGGTCCACAGTCGGAGATCCTTCTCGCGGATACGGAAGCAAGCTGAGGTTATGAGGCTGGAATAGGGTGATGAGATGATGCGAAATATGTTGCAGTCTGAGGGGTGTGTGAAGAGGAATTTGTTGGCGGCGTATAGGACCGGTGTTGCTTCATGGTGGACCTGACGGGAGACGGTCAAGAGGCCGAGAGCGACGTCGTGTTTGGGGGACGAAGGCGTCGGCCACCAGAAAGGGACCGAGGAGACGAGAGCGGAGGTGTAGATGCGGTCGCGCAATTCCCGTGGAAGGGAGAGTAGCAACGAAAATGCAGGGTCTTTTGGGGACATTTGGGAGGAGGCCGAGGGGTTGTTGTGAGATGCTGGACGGGGTTGAGCAGGGGCTAGAGGCGGGGCGTCGAGCATTGTTGTATCAGAGCAGCCGCTGCTGGCCGTCGAAGAACGAGAGCGTGAGCGTGAGCGCGGTGTGGATATGCGAGAGGCCATTTCCCGAAGGCACATCCGGGATGTAATGTTTACTTCTTCGGTGAGCGGCGACAGCCAAGCGATTTATGTATGCGGCGTAGTTCAGGCGCTTAGTGAATGCGTGGTCTAATGAGTGCGATAGGCAGATATCCATGTGAAAATGTGAAGAGGGGAAGAGTGCGGTGGTGGTGCAATCGAGTAGCCTGCGCCTGATCAAATTACGCCAAACAGGAACCCCTCCCCCTTGGCGTTTGAAAATCGGCAACCCCACGTGCGGATCATCCGAAATTCGTTCCCCGTGGATATTGCACCGTCACTTCAGAACCAGAATATCCATCCGGTCATAATTATATGAACATCAGCATTATACACTTGCATGTTCATGCTCGTCACAACGCCACATGCAGAATATCTTGACGTACGCTGATAGAATTAATAAGCTTCTAAAGATCAATATCTAGACCTAACACACTAAGCAAGGCTTAGCCCTACGCTGCTTAAATAAATCCTCGCCTTAATGTTACTTTTTACTAGTTCTAAATTTAAAGCTATATAACGTACTTTACAGGCGAGTTGCTCACACACCTAAGTCGCCTACTTTTGCCAAGACTACACCCTAACAAACTCTATTATAGCCTATAACAACCTGCTCTAGCACTATTGTCAGATTGAAGCACTGTTTCTGGGCTTCCTGAGATGAATGATGGGTTTAGATATGATGTATGGGATGATTTATTGATTGTCTTCATTGTGTTGATTTATCGATCCTTTTTTCTGCTCTACTCGTGTTGCTCGCGCACTAGCCCTATGCGCGACCAGCTTGCAAAATGCTGCAATTTTCTGCAATTTGCTGCAAACTGCTGCAACATGCTGCAATTTGCTGCAATTTGCTGCAATTTGCTGCAACATGCTGCAATTTGCTGCAATTTGCTGCAAACTGCTGCAACATGCTGCAAAATGCTGCAAAATGCTGCAATTTGCAGCAACATACTGTTCGAGCTTATTGCTCGTACTATGTAGCAGCTTTCGTCAAGCGTTCCTCCTGTCTTGACAGTAGGTGCGCAAATCTGACAACTATATAGTACAGTACAGCCTAGAATATTATTTAGATACTACTTCTGCTTCTTGCTTACACATTTGTGTGTTATGCCTAGTCTAATTGCACTATCTGCAGCGCCTTCAGAATAGCTTATTGTGAGAGCACTGTTGTAACGATTCTTATAAACCGTTCCATCTCAGGTCGCCTTGAACCTATCCAAAGGGTCCCTGTATTAGCTCTAACCCTAACTTAATTCTTATAAATTGTTCTATCTTAGATTGCCTAGAACCTCTCTAAAGGGTCTCTATATTAGCTCTAACCCTAACTTAACCTAGCTCTAACTCTGCTCTACCCTCTGCTATTACTTTTATTTCTCTATATATTTAGTTACACCTCTCTTCTGTAGCTAGCTTAGTAGTTTTCTAATATCCTTTGTACAAGGCCTATAGGTGTTAATAGAGTTCCTAGGTTATAAGTCCCTACGCACTTCTATCTGCCTCTAAGTAGATTCCTACTGCATTTAGACCTATTGTCACGATTGTGCACGAGTAAGGTTATAGAGCTTCACAGAGGTCTAGTTCAATTACTACGTGAGGTATCATGGTAGGTACAAGACATTGTGTGAGGAACAGGAAAGTTTAGGAGGAAATTAGCAATTAAATACTTAGCTTAGAAGTCTAAGCGCTTTAGGTATAAATTAAGCCTATTCTAGGTTTAGTTAGTGTTAAGGCAGTTTATACTTAAGTTTATGTCTATATTATGTTATGTTTATGTTAGACGTGCACTAATAATACTCTAGTACACGTCTAATACAGTTATGTCTAGGATCTAGGGAGGATACTGTAACAGTACCCCCCCTCTTATTAGGAAGGGAATCCTTTACATTAGTAGTTCTAGCATTAGGTTGTCTTTATTAGGGTACAGGTTTAGTTTAGATAGGTATTAGGCGTAGAATTAGGTTACTGCAGAGTTCTCTTACAAAGCTTCTACAGGTTCCTACAACAGTTTGTTGTATCTAGTCTATTTTATAAAGTATTTATAGATACATTTTTTCTTATTAAACTAGATCTATTTAACATCTTCTATAACATATTCTAGTTTATTATTTATAATAATAGGTTTAGGTAGCAGGTTTAGCTGTCTAGGTAGATAGTTAGATTTAAAGGCTGCTTAGCGCAGCAACAATACGTGGAACACAGGGTGTATCTTTATGCTGTTAGGTAGGATTAATTAGTAAGCGTGTAATAAGACTATATAGGCTACTATAAAAAAGCTAAGGTTTTTCTAATTAAGTTTCTTTAATTATTAGTTTATTTAGATATTTCTAGCGTCTAGCTAGACCTTCTTGCCAGCTGCATACGCAGGGGCAGAGGTTTAAGATTAGTTTATATACTCTTATTAAAAAGCTTAAGCCTATGTAAGCTTTTTATAAACATATTTAAATATATTTTAGATTTTATTAATAAGTCTATTTACATCTATTACTTATACTAATTAATAAGTTAGTTAGAGAGTATTTATAAGTAGTTTAAATTTTATTTAAGAGTAGTATTTATAGTTTGCTAAGAATAAAGATACTTATGTTAATTTAAATATTATGTTATTAGCTTTAAACTATGCTATAGCTAACTATTTTACCTAGTTATCCTACTAGTAGTTTATATACACTTATAGAACTTATTTTATTATAGTGTTTATGTTCTTAGTCTAGCTATTAGTCTCTAAGTAAAAAGCTATAGATAGATAAAAGATAATTTAGAGCTATTTATAGAGTTTATTCTAGAAGGCTAAGACAAACTATGTACCTTTGTCTAATATAATTATGTTAAGTAGGCTATAGTAAACCTATATGTATTAGTAAAATAACTAGGCTATATTAAAGGCAGTTATAGAGGAATATAGTATTAAGTGTTAATACTTAGTTAAGTAATTAATAACTACTATAATATTTATATACTTTTTAGATAAGAGTAGGTCTATAATAAAATTAATTAATATATCTTTTTAAGCTTATTTAGAGATTAGAAGTAGTTTAAGTAGGCTATTATACTTTTTTTAAAAAGCCTTTACTTTATAGTAAGTATAGCAACATAATACATATTAGCGTATAGTATAGAACATGCAGGGCTAGTAGTACTCTCTTTGTAGTAGGTTAAAAGTCTTTCCTCTGCCTAGGTGTTCTCTAATAGGCAAGTTATGTATAATTTAAAGTAGTTTAATTTTTAGTTTATTAAAATTAAAAATTATAAGTTAGTTATAGTAATACAGCTTACTATTTTAGTTTTTATAGTTAGCTAGTATTACTTTCTTTAACTAACTAGCGCTGTTTTAGAGTAAGTCTAAAGTTTCTTAGATAAATTTATTATTTAAATACTTATTAGTAATAATTTAATTAATTATTTAATTTATTTTATTTAAGTTAAAGTCTAAAAATAGCTTAAGTTAAAGTAAAGTTTAGTGTTAAGCCTTTTACACTTCTTTCTAAGTAAAGATGTCTTAGAATTACCTTATAAAAGCATCTAGTTTCCTTCTATCTTAACTAAAATAATAAGTAATCTTAAAATTAAAATAAAATAAATATTTAAACTAATAAGCTTATTAGTAGCTAAGTTATTTTATAGTTATAAAGTACTGTAAGTTCTTATAGTTAGATAGAACCTATATTAGATACGCTACACCTTCTAGTTTAGGTTGCTATTATTTAAAGCAGTATACTATAGTAAGTAATTTTTTATTATAAATCTTATAATTACCTTCTGCAGGACTTATTTTTTTTAAAAAGTATGTAATAGGCCTAATAGTTCTATCTAGCTTAGTCTAGAAAAGAACTCCTACTACTACATAGTCTAAGGCATTAGCTTTTATAAGTATTAGTAGTTTAAAGTTAAAGTAGCAGAGTATTAAAGCTTTAGTAAAGGCTTTCTTTAGCTAGTTAAAAAACTATTAGTAATTTAAGTTAAAGTTAAATTAAACCTCTTTCTTAGTAAGTGTAATTATAAGGCTTACTAGCTATAAAAAGTTATTAATAAATTATTAGTAAAAGTTAGTAAATCTAATAAAAGCTTAAACATTCTTTATGTTTTTTAAGTATTACTAATCTAGTATAGTCTAAACCTTAATAAGGTCTATTTAAATGCTATTTATAAAGATTACATATCTTAAATATATAACCTTTAATTAGTAGAACTTACATTTATCTATATTAAGTTATAAACCTGCTTTTTCTATAGCCTTTAGCACTAGGCGTACATGCTATTTATGCTCTAAAAGGCTATTACTGTAGATTAGAATATTATTAATATATATAGTGCAGAACACATCTAGGTAGGGTTAGAGTAAGTTATTTACAAAATATTAAAAAGTACTAGGCGTGTTAGCTAAGCTAAAGGGCATTACTAAGTACTTAAATAGTCTATATTAAGTCTAAAACACTGTTAGCTACTTATTACCCTTTACTATTTTTAGCTTATTAAAGGCAGTAATAATATCTAACTTTATAAAATACTTTGCTTTACTTAGTTAGCTTAAAGTTTTTTATAAAAAAAGAATTAAGTATTAGTTTTTAATAGTAATAGTGTTTAGTCTTTAGTAGTTAACATAGAATTAAAGCTTACTTTTAGGTTTTTTTATAAATAGTATAAGTAACACTACTAGTAAGAAGCTAGCTTAAATAAACTTTTTTTTTAGGTTTTTATTAAAGTATTTTTAAAGCACTTTTAATTTATTTAGTAACATCTTATATAGTAGCCTATAACTAGGTTGTTTACTAGGCTTAAAAGTTATTTAGTAATTATATAGATGTTATATTAAAAGCTTATTAAACTTATCTTAAAAAAAGACATATAATAAGTTATAGTAGTCTTAAAAAACTATTATTCTTAAGTTAGTATATTTTTAAAGA